ACCTTTGCTACCAGCGGTAAATGGGGTACTGTGTAAAAGGCTTTCGCGAAGTCAAGGAATATTGTATAAACCGGCATTTTTTGGTCCCAGTAGGTTATCCAGTTGTACCATACTTTGATATGATTGGATGCGTATGATCTGTCTTTCCTAAAATTGTGTTTTGATTCATGAGGATGTTGTTTTTCTGCATGTACTCCCTGGTTCGCTCATTAACCAGTCTGTCCGTTAACTTCGACGGGATCACGTGATCATGTAAATGCTATAAAGAAACTAACGTTCTATCTATTTTCGCCTTTGGCTTCGTATTTCCATTTAACCTTGCTATTTGGAATATAATCTTTTTTTGTTCCACCGTGTTTTTGATCCTTTGGAACTTGTCCAGTGTATTGTGGTCAGAGAACACTAAGCAATAGGAATTAGCTATGAATTATTTATTTTGAAGATTGGATGGAGAATAGCTTTTCTCAATTCAACTGGATATGGATGTGACTCCATGGAACACCTGAATAGGTTGCATTGCGGTGAACTGAGGACTTCTGCACATTGTTTCAAGACTACTGGACGGATATTGTCGTATCATTGTAACTCGTGAACTCAGTGATTCGAATTTTCTTAGTACTAAGTCAGGAGAAATTCGAATATTCCCTAGGACCAGCTGGCAGTCGGTTTAAGTAGTAGTCTGAGCCTGCAGGTACCTGGTTTAGCTGATCGGTGAAGCTGGGATTACAGATCTTAGCCTCTTCCAAGGTAATAGGATCTTTATTATTTGCTCATGGAGATTGTCAGGTTTCATTGAGGTGATGAATCGGTCAATGTTCGAATACCATCACAGACCCAGAGCACTGAATGGCTGTTTTATCCCCGCATGTGACTCGTCAGTAGTGAGCATCCACGACCCCCTACAAACAGGAATCGAACCAAGAACCTTCGGTCTTGCGCGTGAGCACTTAATCTCTAGACCACCGACGCGGTGTTAATATCTAACCTCAGTCAATCCATAACATTGTCTTCACTGGGTAACTGCCTCACATCTGACACGGTCACACTCCACAGGTCACGGCTTCTCACTAGAACTCCGAGAGTTTCCTCACGAAGCTAGTCACTCTGATTTGTAGGTTTTAGTTTGATCATAAACCTAAAGAGATATTTTGGGTTTACTTGCATTTTGGCTGCTTGCTTCGATTGAAAGTGTCTCCTGTTGCTTCAAACTTTAATACTCTATCTGTTACTTAACACCAAGTAACAACAGTGGTCAGAATCCCCCAGGAAGACTTTTCACTTGCTCCAAGCTGTTCTTTTCTTCTGTGACAAGCGTTTAGCACCTCGCTTAATCTATGTTCTCTTTTCAGGCATGTGATTAGCTTGAGACATATTACGTAGGATAGCACTCTGAATGATGTTTTCTACTGTTCGCCAGCCATGGAGCATTTAGAGGATGCTTACTCACGGTCGTTTAGTTTGCCCTAGTGTAGTAAAAACATGTCGCATTTTCGTCCTCCATAGGCATTTCGTTTGTGATCATGTTAAACATGACTGTACAATGGTCACTCCTTCCTACTGGTGTGTGGACATGTACATCCTCAACTAAGAGCTGATTGTTGGTTAACGCGTAATCGAAGTTTTGGGGTTCCTCGTCTTTAATAAATCTAGTGGCACCACACACTAGTTATTCCCGAACTCTTGTTGGCTGTGACAAGCCACTTTCGAAAACACCTTGCTGAAGTTGTATCCTGTTTGCTATGATTTTCGGGGTGGAGTGTCGAAGTCTCCAGCTAGTTGTGTTTGGTCAAACCCCAGACGTAGTAGTTGAAATTCGCCTCAAGCAACTTATTTTTCTGGGATTTAGTACCTGAGGTGGCCGGTCAATCCATCCGATCAAGAATTAATGTCTCATGTGTTGATATGATGATGGATAATTACAAATGATACAGAAATCCTAGCATATAACTAATCTCTGAAAAAGTTTTTCACTAGAGGAACCATCAAACAATTGTTATTCGAGTTCTTTCTATGGCTGAAGATCACCAAAATGAAAAGTGTTTTGAAGTTTAAATCATATACATTCCGAATCGCACCTAACTGTATTTTAAATTATAGTTATGTGTTTCCTAAAATACTGTTTTAACTACTTTTTGGTCAATTTTTGGTAGACTTATTATCCTCAGTTTTCGAAAAAGTTTTACAAATTATCAATTTGTGTTTACTTCAAGATACACAAAAATATGTTATTTCTTTTTCAGACTAATAAAGAATATTAAAAACATGACTGTTAGAGACGTGGATGAACAGATCACTATTCATACTGCAGTGAAACGAGGTGACTTCAGGGCACTCAAAGAAATGATTTCAAGTGGAGCTAGTGTAAATGAAGTAGACAAAAATTCTTTTACACCATTACATTGGGCTGCCAATGTAGGTGCTATAGAGGTAACAGACAATCTGATCTTCGTGTATCTAAATCATGCACTAAGATTCTTCAATATCTGTTGTGGAAAAATGCTGATCCTCTGATGGTAACCAAAGGCGGTTGGACACCTGTTCATGTAGCTGCCATTCGAGGCTATGAGAAATGTATACAATCACTGGCCGACAGAGGTGTAAGTGTTTCTGTTCAAGACAAGAATGGTCAGACTCCAGGCCATTTGGCCTCAATACATGGAAATTCCGGTAGTCTTTTAACCCTCTTGCGTGCTGGCGCTGTAAGTTTAACTTTGTTTTCATAAGCACCTCAAAGTTTCCTCTCATGAAAAAATGGGCTTCTTTATCGATTAAATTATTGACATTAGGTTTTTGGAACTTGATTTCTTAAATCATTTTTGCTGTATATAATATGGAAACATTGTAGGATCAATAAAATTTCACAAACTAAATAACCTCCTAGCATTACTTGCAAATGATAAATTAAGAACCTTCCGAATCTGTCCAAAATCAATCAGTGGTCATGAGTAAGTCAGCAAACGAAGAGAATCAAATAATGGAAAAACTAACTGATCTAATACATTAAGTGTGAAACTTACGCCTGTTACCCCTAATGGAGTATAAGCCGCCAACCAACGTACTCCAACCTACTGTGTTGTGGGCCTTCCTTCCCAGTTCTAGCCAATTGCTATCCGTTCATTTCATGTCTGTTTCCTATTCTCGGTGCAGTGTGCTCTTTGTTCTACCTCTGTTCCTTTGGCCCTAATGATGATGACGTAGGCGAGATATCCGTCTACCAACCGAAGGACCAGTTCACTGCTCAGCAGTTAGCCCCGTCCTACTCAATGGCTGTGAAATATAACCACTAACAGTAGAGGATATTCATAAGTTACTACTAGTCGAAGCATTGCTCGCCTACCTTGGGACAATTGAGTAAGTAATGCTTTTGTTAGGAAAAGGCTACTTAGTAATGATGGCAGATCGATTGATGAAGAAGGGAATCTTCATCAGTTGAGGTGGTTGGGACATATGTTACGTATACCCAACCACCGACTGCCATGACGAGCGATGTTTTGTGATGTAAGAGTAGGCTGGGAGAAAGTTTTATTTTGGCCACTACCAAGCGGTGATCTGAAGCTATACCAGCTCCTCTTTTTATTTTTACGTTCCCCATTGTTCTTCTGAAATCTTGATTCGTGTGATTCATGTGCTCTATTTAGTTATGTGTAGTGTGATCCGGCGAAACCCATGGGAGCATAGCACTGACATAGCACGACATTCATTGTGATCCCCTCTTTTTTTGTCCTGAAGGATGCTTTGATGATCCGGGGTCCATGAAATTCTCATCCTATAAGTGCTTTATGTGCTCCTTTGGATAGGATCAGTACAGCTCTTTGTGTGTGTGAGGCACTTTCATCTTCATGGAGGCGTACTTCAGAATCTTTCCCGAAGCTAATCTTTTTTGTCCAGCTTGTGTTCAGTAGGTTTCAATTACCCCAAACACCATCAGGTTGTATTTTTTTCATTTCTGAAGCAACTTGAATGGTTCTCCCGGTCTTCCACAATGTTTGAACATTCCATATACCTTTATTAGTTGTTGCTATGGTTGTCGGAAAGGGTATAGGCCTCGTGACTTCAGAGGCGTGATAACTCTTCTAAATGAAGACCTTGCAACTCCAAGGGCAGAGTTTAAAAGGTTTGAATTATTTTTTATGGTTAACGTTTTTCTATCGAGTTGGTTTTATGCAGGATGGAGTCTTTAACACCATTCCCCCTCTCTTCCTATATCCTGGCTCGGGACCAGCAGTAGCACTAGAAGGGCTCAGGCGGAGTTACTAAATGTGAAAGGATCTGGTAATGATATATGGAGTGATTATCTTTAAATACAAATACCACATACGCTGCAAATTTATTGGAGACCAGGATTTTTACTGAAACGCTGAAGATGTATATTCATTCGCATATATCACTATATATTTTTTATCGTGTGATAAACCCCTACTAAACTCCGCCAGTAGAACCTTAGGGGCTACTGCCGGTCCCAAGCCCGGATAAAGGAGGAGGGTTGGACATGGGGTTGGCGGCCCCATTCCGTTGAAATCTAACTTGCCAAAAAAACGCTAACCAGAAAAAGTAATTCAAACCATTTTAACTCTGCCCTGGGAGTTGGAAGAAGAATTATGACGTCTCGTGATGAAAGCCGAGTTCCCTCGGAAGTCACGGGGCAGATGCCTCTTCTGACAACCAGAGCAACCATTCTTTTAGGTACATGGAACGTTCGTACATTGTGGGAGACTGGAAGACTATTTCAAGTTGCAGCAGAAATGAAAAGATACAACCTCGAGGTGCTCGGCATCAGTGAAACGCATTGGACACAGGTAGGACAACTGAGACTTGCTTCAGGGGAACTGCTGTTATACTCTGGTCATGAAGAGGAAAATGCTTCACATACACAAGGAGTTGCACTGATGCTGTCCAAACATGCACAAAAGGCATTGATATGATGGGAATCTCATGGACCTAGGATCATCAAAGCATCCTTCAAAACAAAGAAACAGGACATTACAATGAACGTCATCCAATGTTATGCACCTACCAATGACTACAATGACGACGTTAAAGATCAATTCTACGAAAGGCTGCAGTTACCCGTCGAGAAATGTTCACCAAAGTATTTGACGATTCTTATGGGAGATCTAAATGCCAAGGTTGGCATGGACAACACTGGATATGAAGACATCATGGGACGACATGGACTGGGAGAAAGGAACGAAAACGGTGAGAGATTTGCAAACCTATGTGCCTTCAACAAACTGGTCATTGGTGGCACAATATTCCCGCACAAACGCATTGACAAAGCCACATGGATTTCACCGGACCACACTACTCAAAACCAAATTGACCATATCTGTATCAACAAAAAGTTCAGAAGGACCATGGAGGATGTGAGAACCAAGAGAGGAGCTGATATAGCTTCAGATCACCATTTGCTAATCGCCAAAATGAAACTGAAGCTAAAGAAGCACTGGACAACGGGGAAGACAACATCACAGAAGTTTAATACGGCCTTTCTTCGGGATACCGTAAAACTCAACGAATTCAAGATAGCCCTCACCAATAGGTTCCAGGCCTTTCAGGATCTACTCAATGGAGAGGAAGCAACATTGGAGTACAATTGAAAAGGGATTAAAGAGGCAATCACTTCAACATGTCAGGAGGTCCTTGGTCGCAAGAAGCAGCATCACAAGGAATGGATCTCTGTTGGTACTCTTGAAAAAATTGAAGAAAGGAGGAACAAGAAGGCAGCAGTGAATGTCAGCCGAACAAGAGCAGAGAAAGTTAAGGCGCAAGCCGAGTATACAGAAGCAAACAGGGAAGTGAAGAAGAGCATCAGAGCTGACAAACGAAAATATGTGGAAGATCTAGCAATGACGGCGGAAAAGGCTGCAAGAGAAGGAAACATGAGACAATTGTACGAAACAACAAAGAAGCTCGCCGGGAACTATCGTAAACCAGAACGACCAGTGAAAAGCAAGGAAGGCAAAGTAATCAGCAACACTGACGAACAGCGAAATAGGTGGGTAGAGCACTTTAAGGAACTATTGAATCGACCAGCTCCACTGAACCCACCCAACATCGAAGCAGCATCCAAGGACCTCCCAATTAATATTGGCGCACCTACGATTGAGGAGATCAGTATGGCCATCAGACAAATCAAGAGCGGCAAAGCAGCAGGACCAGACAACATTCCAGCAGAGGCAATGAAAGCAGATGTAGAAGCAACTACGAAAATATTTTACATCCTCTTCAAGAAGATTTGGGATGAGGAACAAGTACCATCAGATTGGAAGGAAGGATACCTGATCAAAATACCAAAGAAAGGCGACCTGAGCAAGTGTGAGAACTACAGAGGCATCACTCTTCTTTCAATACCAGGCAAAGTCTTCAACAGAGTATTGTTAAACAGAATGAAGGACTTCGTAGACGCCCAACTTCGAGATCAACAGGCCGGATTTCGTAAGGATCGATCATGTACTGACCAAATAGCTACATTACGGATCATTGTGGAACAATCAATTGAATGAAACTCACCACTCTACATCAACTTCATCGACTACGAGAAAGCATTCGATAGCGTGGATAGGAAAACACTGTGGAGGCTTCTTCGACACTACGGTGTGCCTGAGAAAATAGTCAACATCATACGGAATTCTTATGATGGATTCAACTGCAAAATCGTGCACGGAGGTCAGCTGACAGACTCTTTTGAGGTAAAGACCGGTGTGAGGCAAGGTTGCTTACTCTCACCCTTTCTCTTTCTCCTGGTCATCGACTGGATTATGAAGACGTCAACATCTGGAGGGAAGCACGGTATCAACTGGACAGTTAGGACGCAGCTGGACGATCTGGACTTCGCAGATGACTTGGCTCTTCTATCGCACACTCAACAACAAATGCAAGAGAAGACGACCAGTGTAGCAGCAGCCTCTGCAGCAGTAGGTCTCAACATACATAAAGGAAAAAGCGAAATTCTCCGATGCAACACAACATGCACCAACCAAATCACTCTTGATGGATATGCTTTCGAGGACGTTAACAACTTTACATATCTGGGCAGCATCATCGACGAGAAAGGTGGATCGGATGCAGATGTGAGGGCGCGGATTGGCAAAGCAAGGGCTGCATTTCTACAGCTGAAAAATATCTGGAACTCCAAACAACTTTCAAACAAAACCAAAATCAGGATTTTCAATACAATTGTGAAGACAGTTCTACTGTATGGAGCGGAAACATGGAGAACTACCAAAGCCATCATCCACAAGACGCAAGTGTTTATTAACAGTTGTCTTCGCAAAATACTTCGTATTCGTTGGCCAGACACCATCAGCAACAACGAACTGTGGGAGAGAACAAACCAGATTCCAGTGGAGGAGGAAATGAGGAAGAAGCGGTGGAAGTGGATAGGACACGCTACGAAAAGCACCCAACTGCGTCACGAGACAAGCCCTCACGTGGAACCCTCAAGGCAAAAGGAAAAGAGGAAGGCCAAGGAACGCACTACGCCGAGAAATAGAGAAAGATATGAGAAGAATGAACAAACATTGGACAGAACTGGAGAGGGAAGCCCAGGACAGAGTTGGTTGGAGAAAACTGGTGGGCGGCCTATGCTCCATCGGGGGTAACAGGCGTAAGTAAGTAAGTAAGTAAACCCCTACTAGTTTCCGAAGCAACAACAGAAATTTCTAAAGACTCATTTATGTCACTGAAATAGATTTGTTCTAGATGATGATTTTGTATATTCAAGTGCTTGGGATTCAGTATATGAACCGTAGACATACATCCTTCCGTGAACTCCTGGTACACAACCTAAGATCATTTTCATGATGTGTTGCCATTACTTTACTCTTAAATGGAAATGTCTCTTCTCCGATAAGTTTCTTGGTGTTTTTATTAACAAAATGTGACATTTCTACATTTTACCACAATTGCGTCTACCTTTTATTTGGGTTCTCTGAATGCCGAACCAGAATGTATTACCATTCAAAGTCTTCACAACCTTTCACATTAACCATTAGGAAATGGTGTCTGCAATCAGTAAACGGATTTTCCTATCTTTAGTTGATAACTGATCACGTATATTAGAGTACAGCGAAAATAGTGGTCTTAACTATCATTCTAACCTTTTTTTGCAGTAAGTACCATACACGTAAAGTTTCTTGAATTATCTGCGAACCGTTTACTTATTATGGCAGTACTAATAAAAAATTCGGTGTTCACTCACAATTATCTTTCAATGACTGATGAGTTGTATGATTTACATGACCAGTTTGTATAGCATTCTTTTGTCGAATAGTAAAAGCTTGAGCAACTGTAGCACTGTTCACACCAAGGGATCTGCCAAAGATTATTCGTGATGATGAGTGAACTTTAGAGCTTCATTTCATGCAGTAACGGTAAATTTATTTCTAGAAAGCTTTTATAAACTTACAAAAAGCTCTACCAAGACATCTTAAGCATTTTATTACATGAATAAGGCTTTTATTTCTGGTTCTGTTCATATTCAGGATCTTGAAACAGTGGATGCTAGTGGATGGACAATGTTACATGCAGCTTCGTATCATGGAAGGTTGGGATGTGTTCAGGTGCTACTAAAGTGGGATCTGCGAATAGAGGATACGGATAAAGCTGGAAACAATGCTGGTAACTTTTCTTTATGTAGCCTATATAAAAGTAGTTAAAAATGAAGCTTTGAATTTAAAAGTGTTATGGTTAACAAGACTGAACTCAGAAATTTTGTGAAAACTTGGCTCGCTTAAAGATAGCTTCACGAAATAAGCACCACAGAACACTGCTAGGACGACCATAAAATTGACCAGTAGGAATTAACCAAAAGGAAGTGATCAATAATTCTCTTAGGATATTGAATGAATATCCTAACATATCTATTCCACTGGTTGAAAAATTGATATAATTTTTGATGGTACAGTTTCTGCAAATGCATTCTGTTTGTGATATTTTATAGCGATTGCATTACATCTTCGTTAAACGTCTGTATCTACTCTTAACATTTTTTTTCAATAGCCTTCATTAAATCAATGATTTTGTGATGTCTTTTATTTGTAAACCAATCAGAGAGAGTGATAACTACATTAAATAATCCGATGTTCTGAATACTCTCCCGTAGAATTGTTTTATTAGTCAAAATATATACTTTCTGTTTACGACCACTTTGCAGGACTCGTCACAAAGTGTTTTCGTAACTAATAGATCTGAAAAATTGTTTCGATTGTTTAAGATGCTTAGTTGGTTATTGATCAAACTTTCATTTATGATTGAACGATCTTGAACCAACTTACTATTTTATTGTTTCAGTTTTTTGACTTTGTGATACAAATATCACTTGCAGAAGTTCCATGTAAAACAGTAAGCAAATCGTAATAAAAATTGGGATTGTAGTTTGTTTATTAAGTAACTGAAATTAATTCCAGTAACATTTTACCACATAAAAATCCGAAAAAATTTCTATTGGAACAGAAATGCAGTCACATTTTTTTTATTCCAGACAACAGTGTTATAAGTTTTATTCGTCGTCATCGTTTCTAGAAAAAATTTTTATTACGGATTTTGTACTTCCACTATACGAAACCTTGTTCATCCTATTATTAATCCTTGATATTCTGAATACTGGAAGTGAAGTTAAACGGATAAACGGACCTCTGTATGTCTCGTAGACTGTGTCTTATCTGTTAGTGCGACTTCTTATTTCCATATACTTCTACGAAATTATTCTGGGAAATTATCCACTTTGCTTCAAATTAACACTCATTGTGTATGGAGTCATTATATCAAAGTTAACATCAAATATTTCTCTATAACAGTATAAGTAATTTATTTTACTAATTTTTCAAATAACGCAATTCAATAAATGTTTCTTTTTATTTATTTTAGCTCATTTAGCAGCAATGGAAGGTCATTTACCTGTGTTGCAGTGTCTAATGAGCCAAGTTAAGACTCCATTGTATATACTTGGCACTCCCAATGATCATGGTGAAACTGCTGAAGCCCTGGCTAAGCGGTTTTTAAAACATGATGTTGAAACGTATATAAATAAAATCAAAACAGAGCAGACTTTCCATCGAGGACCAGAATACTCAGAGGCATTAGCGTTTCCAGCACATGCAGCAGCTTATTCGGGAGACTTAACTCAACTACGTGTTTTAATAGAATCAGGGACTGTCAAAATAGATGAAAGGGATGAACAGGGTGCAACTCCACTACACAAAGGTAAACTTTATATACACATTTGAAATCATCAATCAATCATTGTTAGACTACCATTAGAAACCTGGAAGCACTGGATGGCCGTTTCTTCCTGGTATGGGACTCATCAGCAGTGCGCATCCACGACTCCTACTCCTCGCAGGATTCGAACCCGGGACCTTTGGCATTGTAGGCGAACGCCTTACCATCGGACCACTGGGCCGGCATCCAACGGTGTTAATGTCTAACTCTGATTGATCTAGGGATTTTGCGCAACCTCACCCATTTGTCTTTGGTAGTTACTGCCTACACCCGACAGGGTTGATTGATGATTTCAAATGTGTAAAAAATCGCAAACCTCCAAAACTGTGCCCCAAAATATCGTAAACTTTATTGTTCAACAGAATAAACAATCGCTTTTCGAGAATTTAGTTGTCCATATTTATTTAACAATTACTGAAGTGTTTATTGCTAAAAGGACATTCTAATATTAAAATATCTTGCTTACGCTGAGAGCAGTTTGCTTATTTCCCACTAGTATTCATACCACAGAAACTTCTATGACATAAAAGCTTATTACCGTAGACTTTAAGAATTATAGTAATAATACCAGTCATATAATATTTTTTTTCTATGATTCCTCCAAAAGTCCCACCATATTTTGCAGAACAAGTATTAAACTGTTGATGAATAAAACCTAGAGTTAAATTTGTACAATAACTATTATTTACTAACAGACACATGTTAAAAATAAATGGTGAATATATTTTCTTCTTCCTGACACTGCCATATTGACCTTTTCCCATACATTTCGATGTTCAGAGATGGATTTACAGTTTACTCCAAAATAGTACTTACTTAAAGTGCCATGCATGCTATAAATATCTGTATGCAACTAGGAATTTATTTTATGGGCCTTGATTTTTATGTTAGATAACTCATTATATTAATCTGCGATTAGTTGAAATCACAAAAGATATGATTTCTCAAATCTTCAAAAAAAGTATTTCATGTGTAAGAATTTTCACTAGCTTTTGGACATCTGTCAAATTTATTAAAATGCAATTTATTGACAGACCTCTCTCTATTGTACACAGAAATAAGCTGTCCTATCATGATCTCTTTTATTGAAGAATAATTGTCAAAATACATTATTTTTAACAGTTACTAAACCGAACTGCGATGTGTCGAAATTGTCTCAGATTAACATTATACTGTTTGCTGAGAGGTATTAAAAAATATAAAAGAAATTGATTATAACATTCTCATACGTTTAAGTCTAAATGAATAATAATACAATAAAAAGCCATAAAAATTAAATGATACAAGGAACGATATCTTAGTCAACATTTCATTATATGATATTAGATTTGCCAACTTACTTATCTCAGTATATCAAAATTTGTATGACATGTTCACCTACTTTAATTTGTGTGTCAGTAATATCTACTGCGAATGTTGACTTCAAGCTTCACGAAATGCAAATAAATATTTCTGTTTGTTTAAAATTGCTCAGCTGCTGGTCAAGGGCATCTTAAGATAATTCAATGGCTTCGAGAAAACGGTGCTGATCCAAAGTTAAGGAATACCTTGGGTGAATTACCAGCCGATGTAGCCAAAAGGTATGGTCAGCTGGGGGCGTTAAAACTTTTATCACCTAAATCTGATGGAGAATATGAGAATGATGGAATTTCAGATATTATTGATTTACCATCTGATATTCCAATTGGTTATACTGAAGGCGAAAAAATGCATCAGCTTATATTGGATAAAAATGAAGCAATCGGTAATGCATATTGTTGTGATTTATAACTATTAAATCTTTAAAAATTTTTTAAAGTTGATTAGAATGGCGATGCTTAGGTCAAGCTTCGTATGAAACTAGCATTGATGACTTATTTAAGTGACCATAATCAATGTACTCAAAACCATCCGTTTGATTGGATTTTCTAGGTGATTATCGAATGAACGCAACTGAGTGTAGAGTTTTCATCTATCAGCCTTTCTTCCTGATGGTTCTATATGGCAGATTTGTCTATGCGTAAACATTTATTAAATTTAAACTTGTACGGCACAGCTTCTAAAGGTCTTGAATAAAAGGAAAATAATTCATGGTGTCATCTAAAGAAATTATAGCCAATACATATAAAATATTCTATTAAAAGGTAGAAGGATGATTGCATCACGTTCCGTGTCAAAGAATGTTGCTTAACGATCGAAAACTCAAGGAAAAGATAATAAGCTGAAACCAAATAAGAAAATTATCCACTACACGAGTATGAGAATAAATGTGGTAACGATAACGAACATTCAACACAGAATAGATTCAAAACAATCAAATTATCGTTTATGAAAATTAGGTTTTATGGCCGTGGAAGAATGATGGCTTGCATGTATCCGTTTTGTTCAAGGCACATAACTGTATGCAAAGATTCAC